TTTATTATTAATTGCTTTTTTAATCTGATTTTTTCTACTTTTGCTTTGTGTGGTTTTCATCATTCATTTAATTAATAAATTTTTTATTTAACTATATAGTTTTATCAGCAAAAAAATTGATATAAAATCCGAACCGGTGACCCTAGTGGATGCCTGCATAAGCATTTATGCATATACACGTGTTCATATGTATGTAAGCATGTATATTGAAATGTATTTATATATTCACAATTATGCCTACCGGCATAGCACGCTGTTGATACATACAGAATTAATGTATTGTTTTGACTGCGGCCGAGTGACATTTTTGACCTCCTTTTGTTTTCACCGTCACCGCCTTGAAGCTATGTATTCCATTGTTCGGTGAAATGCAGTGTAATAAAAACAAAAACGCATACGTCATAAGTGGCGATAGTAATTACCTTTAATTTTAAATTCCACAATATTTTTTTTTTTTAATTTTATTTCTTGATGCAAGCCCATTAATTACTTTGCTTAAACTAGATGGCTCTTCATGCTAACTTTGCAAACTTAGTCCTCTTAAGGCTCCTCGCTATTTAATTTTGATTGTGTGATTTGCATATACGCATGACAGACGGCACGATTATCTGTATAAACAGACTTTATTTACGAACCATTTTATTGGTCACCGTGCTTATTTGGAAGAACTAAAGAGTTCCTTTACTATTTATCAACAAGGACAAAACAGCTGTTTTCTAAATGCACATAAATGTCGTCTGTTGGGGTAGAATTGTTATGCGCATTTGTATGCTAGTTAATCTGCATCAGCGTTGCCGTCTGTCAGGCATATTACCAAAAAGGTAATTCAATGAGCGTTACTTGGTCGTTTGGCTAATGCGAGCTCTATTTTCATCTGTTTAGGAATGGTTTCGGTTGATCTTCGTAAATAGGGAGGTTTGTTTCGTTATATACGATTTAGCACGTATGTTTTTTGAAGTTTCCACAAAAATTTACTTTGTCTGCCGGGTCCATGCTTTCTTTCCCTTGTTTTATTTGCGGTCAAATGTTGTAACACTAAGTGCTCTACATTTCATTAATCAAAATTTTTTAATTGTAGACTCGACGTACTTCTTTTGGCTACTAAGTAATCCGAAAAATATCGAAACATGTAGCTTGGATGAGTTGTTCCTCGATGCTTCTACCGTATTGCCTGGATCTTGCCATTTTAATATGAATTGTTTCCATCTCTGCAAAACTTTTTCTTGGAGAAAGCTGACCTCAAAAGACTTCCTCAAAAACTGCATGGCTTAGTTTTTCGCTCGAAAATCTTAGAGAAAAAGTGGCAATAGGTTATCGATAAGAACGTTACATCCCTATTTATACTATTGGTTAATGTTGAAATTTATATAAATGAGTTAATTAAAAAATCGATTAAACTGCTTTTAGATTTTTTATGGGGTATTGAGAAAAAATTAAGTACTGAAATTCAAAATTCGGTTGAACCAATTGGTTTAGTGTTTGTAATATATTAATTTTTTTATTTTTAGACATTTAGGCATTTATATATATCGTTCATTTGCTGCAAACATTCAATGATTGGTTTGTTTTTTTTTTTTCAGCGAAAATCGACATTAAATTCTCGTAACATGATTGATGTGCCAATGATTTTGAATAACAATGATTTAATGAAAATGTCACATATGCAGATCTCATTCATTTTCCAGTAGCGCATTGCGAGTTCATTTCATAATCCCCCCTCAAGTCTAATATTGTTTCAATCACTCTACAAAGCCTTCAATCGACAGTCACGCCCCTTTTTCTTACCACTGAATTATGCACTCAATATATACATATAATGCATATATTCACATAAATACATAGATAAATTTGCACAAGCACTAATCACTTTCATACAAAAATCAGCAAAGGTCAATGCACAGCAGTCCCCCCTCCCACCCCCCACAAACAAATTTTACCATTTGCGTTTCATCCGGTATTCCTATTGCAAAATCACCAAACAATCTATGAATTTGTTAATAAAAATTCAAATTCGTTGATACTACATATGTACATAAATATATAGTATATACTGTATGTATAGCAATTTTTTCCCCTTTGTTCTTGTTAACTGAAATGTGCAAACGTACAAACATTTATATCTAAATTGTATTTGTACTCTTCTCTTTCTCTCTTCCCATTGTTTTTTTTTTGTGCTCACATGCTCACACACACAATGCGATGCGAACGAACTGCGATGTTTTTCAGTGATTTTCGACGTAAACGCAACGACAACGACAATCTTTATCTAACTACTCTGTTACGTATACGCCGTGTGCGACCGACCCACGCGTCACCGCAACAGCTGACTTGGAGAAAGCAGCGGGATGAGTTAAGAACGTCAGAGCTAGCGTGCGGCGTGTGCGTGGATTAAATAAATAATACAAACCAAAAATAAAAACAAAATTTATACATAATTAGAAAGCCAATAAATTCGTTTCTATGTAGTGGATACCTACCGCCATAACAAAGTGGCTGTTAAACAAGTTCCGTGAACTCAAACCAACCCAAAAAAAGGAAAACGAAAAAAGGCAAACACAAAATTTCTTTATATTTTTTTATTTGAATTGGGCAAAAAGTGGGTTATTGAAAAGTAGCAAAATAAAAGAAAAAATATACATATGTGTGTATGTACATATTAATTAAAAAAGTGCTTAAAACAAAGCAGAAACAAATAAAGGGTGGAAAATAAAATCTAATAAAATCAGGTGATATTAAAAGAAATTAAATCAGCTGGTGGCATCAAAATAAAATACGAGTAACTACATACAGTTCAAATGCAAAAGAATTTTATTGAAAAGCACCCTGTCTCAGAATTTGGTTGAAGAACGCCCTATCTCAGAATTCGGTTCAAAAATGCCCGGTGCTAAAATACATTGAAAATGTGCTGAGATAGGTCGATCTTCCACTCAGCCATCGGTATAAAATACACATACACATAAAATAACATTACATGCAAGTTTCAATAAGCAAATCTAGCTGTCTGAAATCATAATGTAATAAAAAAATATGTACCAAAATAATGACATAAAATACCAAATATTAAAAATATAAAATTAAAAGTAATTAAAAGCAAGTTGCCAATAAAAATATAAATGGTGAATATGAAAAATTTAAATTAAGAAAATTTAATTAAAAGAAAAATTATTAGATAATTTGCTAAAAACATAGAATTAATTAGTTTAAAAATAAACTTCAACTGAAGTAAAAAAAATCCGACTAAAGATTTAAAACATATTAAATAAAACAATCAATAAGGAAATTAAAATGTATTGAAAAAAAAATAATACATATTAATTAATTTAAACAATGTGTCTAAAAATTAATTAAAAATTTGAAAGAAATTTAAAATATAATGGGAAAAATATGAATAAATAAAAATCAAATTTAAGGACATAAAAAATTAATAAATATAAAAATAAATCACAATTAAAAATAAAAAAATAATATAAAATAAAAAATAGTAAATTTATCATAATAAAATTTTTTAAATAAAGTAAAAAAAAGTGTTAAAAATATCAAAAATTTATGAAAAATAAAAAACTTATAAAATTTATAAAGATACAAACTTTTAAATCATGAAAATTAAAAAATTAACATTAATAAAAAGTAACATTTTTAAAAGAATGAAAATTTATAAAAAAATACTAATTTAAAAAATCTATGTTAAAAAATAAAAAATTAATAAATAAAATTTATAAGTAATGAAAAATTTATGAAAATAAGGATTTATAAAAAAAAATTTATAATTAATAAATAAATGTGAATAATAATAAATAAATAAGAATAAGTAGTTAAAAAATATTAATAAATAAAAAAAATATAATAAAATTTAAAAAATTAAGGAATCAAATAATTTAAAATGAAAAAGTTACAAAGATAAGTAAAATTAAAAATATATAAAAAAGTTAGAAAACCAATCAATTTTTAGGAACTACAATATTTTTATATTTTTGGACCTACAAAATTAACCTATAAAAATTGCTTTGGATATAGATGTTCATAGGCATTTGATTTTGTTCTTATAAATTCACAACACTTATGGAAATAACAAATTTTCGCAGAACGATTATAGTGATATCGTCGCCCTTATGCCAGAAACATGAATGTGTAAAACTGAAAATGTTGAGACATTGAGTTTGAAATTGGTAAATTTGCACATTCATGCTTCTGGCAAAAGGGCGACGATACATATATACATAATTAGAGCAGCTGAGTCTACAACCACTGCAGTTGTATGTATATTTTTTTGTTTCATTGAGTTTTTTTTATAGCATTTTTTTTTCATAAAATTTTTTAAATTTTTTTTTTTTTTGTAAATTGTTCTGAATTTTTTTTCATGAAATCTGATTTTATTGAACTTTTCTTCATAATTATTATTTATTTTGTCAGGTAATAACGGTTTATTTTATGTAACCTCTGCCTATTACTTTATTTACTTCCAATTATTTACATTTATTAACCCCTGTTGGCATGCGTTAATTTTACGGTAGTCGCCTTGTTTTAGCTTCAAAAACAAAATATGTAATAACAAACAGCCAACAGCAAAAATTAATTAAATTTACGTGCATATTTGCTGCGGTCAACTCAGAGGCGTTCGCTGGCAGACGCCGCGCAATCTTAATAATCTAAAAAAACAAAAAACACAGATCAACATATTTAACGAGCGACGAACTTGTTTTATTTGCCTGTGTTGCTTTTGTTTTGCGAGTAACGGACGTAATATTTTTGACACTTTTTTTTGTCTCGAATGTAAACATAAACCTGTTCTCGCGTATTCGTACGCGTTTTACGCAGGCTTCTAGAAGCAGATAATTGTGTCAGAAGTGCCGGATGTGTCGCGCGTATTTTCTGTACGACAAACAGGGCGTAGCAGTAACAGCAACAAAATAAAAAAAAATGAAAAAAGCGGCACAAACAGAAAATAATAATACAAATAAAAGCAAACAAAAAATGTATAGACTGGAAATTTTTTTTGCAAAGATTATGTTGTAGTGAACATTTGTTTTTTTCTATTTATTTATTACCAGCGGCTTGTGGGACTACAATAACATTTTGTAAATAAATAAAAACATCAAAATTTCGGAAAACACGCTTTAAAGAGTGCTAAAATACAGTTCTTGAAAAGTGCAGATAAAACGCTCAGCCCATTAACTGTACCAACAGTTTGTACGTTTAACTTGGAACAAACCCAAGACGCGAAGAACCAAAAAAAGCAAAAAACGAAAACCACATTCAAACCAAACCCTTCTCCAAAGCCTCAGCTTAAGCGCGGCAAGTGTCTTCGGCCTTAAATGTTCATCAAAAATAATACAATTTTGAATAGCAGCAGCAGTGGAGTTGGCGCAAGCATTGGCGGCAGCGGCATCGGCATAGGCATTGGCAGTAGCAGTCTTGGTGTTGACAGCATCGTTGGCGGTGGGAGTGAGAGTGTTGGCGCCAGCAGCGTGGCAGGCAGTTTGAGTATCGCAAGCAGTAGCAGCGTCGGCGGCAGCAGCAATAGCATCGGCGGCGGCGGAGGTGGTGGCGGCGGCGGTGGCAGCGCAGAGTTGCTTTACCCGAGCAGCAGCAGCAGTAGTAGTTCGAGTGCAAGTGGCCAAGTTAGCAGCGCTTGTAGTCATAGCGGTAGTAGCAGTAGCGTCAGCGGAGGTAGCGCAGCGCCTTTAAATCCAACACGGCCATCGCGCAGCACCGCGCAGACTGAAAATAATAATAGCGTTAGTGGTGGCAAACGCGGCCTCAATTTGAGCTTATTACACAATCACAGCAATAATTCGAGTAGCAGCAGCAGCAACAGTTGCAGCAGCGGCAATAACAACAACACTGCCATCAGCAGTGGCCTTGGCACATTAGTTGGCCACAGTGTTGGTGGCATTGTCGGCAGTGGTCGGCGTTTGATTGGCGGTCTTGGTGGCAGCATTTGGCGTTCGGCCACCTCGAACACATCCTCCTCATCGTCGTCGTCATCGTCCGCCTTATCCTCAGCCGCTGTTACAGCCTCCGCGCCGCCAACGGCAGCAAACTTAAGCGCTCACGCACCGGCTAGCGCAACAGCATCCGTCTCCTCAAATACGACATCGGCTTCATCGCCGACAGCTTCTTACGCCAATTCGACAGCCAGCAGCAGTGCTGTTGCTTTGACCATTACTGACGGTCTGGGCGCCAATAGCGGCGGCGGTAATAATTATTTTGTCTGTGGCAGCGCACCGGCGGCAGTAGCAGCAGCAGCAACTGCGGCAGCAATTGTTTATAGCGCCGGCAATAATCGGGCTAGCGGCATTGGTAGTAGCGGTAGCAGCAGCTATCTGCGCGGTCATACAAAAACTTTACTATTTCAAACGGTTAACGCAACAACAGCAACAACGGGTAGCAGCGTGAGCGCAATTGCTGGCGGCGAGAGCAGCGCCATCATCAAAATGGACGAGGAGGACTCGATGGATGAGGACATGCCAGTAAATATACATTTTTTAAATGCCTTTTTAGTATACATACATAGTATATGCTTTTCTAACTAATATGCATTTATACTGGCTCACATGCACATAAATATGTATGTATGTATCTAATCGTATACTACATGTAGTGCATAGAATTTGCATAGCCTCCTTTTAATAATGTGCATTGTATGTTATATTTCACCCACTAAATTGTTGTGTAACTACCCAACGGTCCATTCTAAAATGGGTTTCCGCTTGAAATCGATATTTATATAGTACTAGGTTATTATAAAGACGGTACAAATCGGAGCGAATATTACAGTAATCGCTCATTGATATGTTCTTGATGCATACATTTAGATGTATATCGATATATGTACATCGATTTACATACACACATGTATAACATTTTTGATAACATTTGTTTTCTATAGAACTTTCGATATTATCTCGATAAGTTTAAATTTTATTTTTTGTTATTTATTTCCGATAACTTTCGATTTTATTTCCGAAAACTTCCGATATTTTTTCGATAAATTTCGGTATTATACTCGATGAATTTCGATATTATTTCCGATAGCTTTCGAAATTATTTACAATAACCATCGATTTGCTTTTCGCTAACTTTCGATAACATCGATATAATATTTAAAATCGCAATAATACCCTGAGGCCACCGAGTAATGTTTTCATCAGAGCGGCCCGATTGAGCTAGCCTAACCTGACTTCTTTTCGATAATTTCGGTATAATTTTCGATAAATTTTTCAAAAACCTTCCATATAATCACTAAGAATTTTCTCTTTTGATTTTCAATACAAGTTTTGATTTAATTTTCGATAATTTTGGATTTAATATTCGATTTCAATTTTTGATATACCGTTCGCTTGAAATTTCGAAAATTTTCAACTAATTTTTCGAAAACTTTGAACGAATTGAATTTTTGATAACTTTCGACTAAATCTTCGAAAACTTTGAACTTACTTTTTGTAAACTTTCGATTTAAATTTCAGTAACTTTCAACTTTTGGTAAAATTTTCGATAGCTCCCGATACAACTCGCGCTAATTTCCGATAAAATTTTCGATAACTTCAGATACAATTCTCGATAATTTCCGATACCATTCTCGATCATATCCGATACAAGTCTTGATCATTTCTGATACAATTCTCGATAATTTCCGATACAATTCTCCATAATTTCCGATACAATTTTCAATAACTTCCGATACAATTTTCGATATTTTCTTTTAATTTCCGATAACTTTGGATTTTATTTTCCAATAATTTAATTTTCGATAACTTTTGATTTGGTTTTCGATAACTTTCAATTTAATTTTCGAAAAAATTTTGTTTAATTTTTGAATTAGTAATTTAAATTTAATAATATAAACTTAAAACCGTCAAAAAATTATGCCCAATTTTTATATGACTACAAATTTTGTACAGCTTTTACTTTCAAATGTTCATTTACACTTACAAATCCAATTTTTCCTAAAACAAAGTCGATCGCCTTCAGTTTTATTACCGTCAACGAATTCCATGCTAACCAAATAATATGCAAATACACATAAATTATCGACTAGAGGACCACGGCACTACATATTTTCCTAATCCATAAATTATGTCGAACGACAATTATCCAAGTCAACAGGTCGAGCAATGAATCAACAGTTTCTTTATTCTCTACAACTTTTACGTTAAATCCCGTAAATTGCTTCCTTAAAGAGGTAATAACCGGATTGTGTGCATATGATTCTAATAAATTGACTTACATTAATATGTATTGTGCTAGACAAGAAGTCGAAGTCGACACAACAACAGCTGTATTGCCTTGAAACAGCACCCTCGCCCACCCGCTTTTTTCATTTAGCCTAACTTATGTCCAATTTGAGAGGCGTATGGTATAGCGTTGTTGTTGTTTTAATTTCGCTATGTTATGCCGATAAAGTGGTGAATGTGCTATAAATCAATATGTGCTCGTAAAATTGTTGGCATTTTGCATAAACAGCAGATACATATGTATGTATGCGAACACTGTACAGCAACAGCAGCAATAACCATGCAAATGGATGGCGGGTGTTTCGTTTTTAATAAAATTACAATGCTTTTTAAGGTAAAATTTGTCTGATTTTTTTTTGTAAAAATATGGCTCCTGCTTTAACAAAAACTATATAAATCACACTTTCAAACTTTATACAGAACTTAGAAAAATTCCACTTATTTTTATCTAAATTTTGAGCTTTGTAACCAGAATATTAGAAATTTTTTGGGTATGCAGTTAACAAGCTTATAAAATTCTAGTAACATAAGTGCAAGTTTTGGGCACCTAAAAAATCGCATTGATTTTTAATATTCTTTTTTGCTGACGGCTTTTGCGTTTTTTTCCAAATAAATAGCGAAATTTAGAGGAAAGCTGCTGTTGACTTTTTTTTTTGTTTTTTCGCAATGGTCTTGCGCATATTCTTCCCCAAATATTCATGTTTACTTATATGGGAAAAGTGCAAACGCCGTCAACAAAAAAAAAAAATATTTTTAAATCAATGCGATTTTTTAGCCGCTCGAAACTTGCACTTATTTTACTAGAATTTTATTAGCTTGTTAACTGCAAGCCCAAAAAATTTCTAAAGATTCTGTTTAAAAAGCTCGAAAGTTAGATACACATTTGTGGAATTTTTCTTAAGTTCTGTATAAAGTTTGAAAGTGTGACTTATATAGTATTTGTTAAAGCATGAAACATATTTTTATAAAAAAATATCAAAAAAAATTTAGCTCGAAAAACATTGTAAATATTAAAAATGAAACACCACACCATTCATTTATTTTTGACCGCCACTGTATGTACATACATACATAATACTAGATAAAAAAAAAAAAAAACTAAATAGAAATGAGAAACAAAACAAAGCGCACGCGATTGCAAAAGTTAATGACTTTAATTGTAAATCAATTGTGGGCGAACAATTGAAGAAGCAGAAAATAGGTTCTCTTATGTAATAAGAAAAAATTCTATGAAACAGCAGCTGATTTTAAAAATATTTAAAAAAAATTAAAAAAGAAAATTATCCTTACTCAAAAGGCAAATATGGCAAATATGCGAGGCATGTTAGATGGCAATGTGACAGAATCCCATAGTCTACTGCCGTGTGACAGTTTTGTGTATCTGCTACATCTACAAGCATGTATTTACTTATCTCTCTTGTTCATACAAGGATCTCATTGCCCGGCTGTAGTGCCAGCAGGTGCAAGGATATAGCTAGTAAGTAAGGCGAGGGCAAGGCATGTTTAAAGCAGAGCTATTTACCCATGCGCTTGTTGTTTGTTGTTGTTGTTATTCGATGCCATGGGAATTCCAACGGCGCCAATGTTTGTTAGTCATTGTGGAACCATGGCAATTTCCGCAGACAAACCGAAACCGTGGGCGGTTAATTGGTTAACGTTGTGGGAGAGTTCATTTTGATTTCTGCGTAGTTGTATATACATAAATATGCAAATATTTTCTTTTTAGAAGTAATTTTTTTCTTTTAAAGAAGTAATGAAACAACGTACTAAATAACTTAACTTAGCTTAGATTTCGCAGGGTAGGGTGTTAATAATAAGTATTTTTTGTTAGTAGTCTTCAGAGTAGCCAGTTTCCAAAAATGACAAACAAATAAAAATACCAGTGAGAAGGGCCTTTTAATGATATTTTTTACGGTTTTTTTGTAGTATATAACGTATGTATATGATTAATTCGAAATTTTTAACTTAATTTTTTAACTACATTTCTTGACCAATTTTTTTTTAGAAAAAATTTTTTCCCTCAATGAAGGAAGGCTAATATTTTATGGCATTTGGAATTCATTTTCTTCATCATTTGTCAAATTTAGTTTAGACACAAACCAGTTTCAGCTTTTTGCCAAGCTCAGTGTCATATTTTTCGAACGAATCCGTCCTCGTTGGAAGCTTTAATAACCAAAATAACCAAAAAAACGGTTTCGTAAAAATAAGTATTGTATATTTTGAGCCTTTCGAAATTTCAATTCAAGAAGTCAGACGGAAAGAATTTTTTATATATGTTATTTGAATATATGCAGTGTGATGCTTGTTAGCTAAGGGGAATAACCAAATGATTTAAATTCAGGGACCGTAACAGGTACAACTTTTATTAAAAAAATTGCTCTTTAACAATTATTTTTTTACTTTTATTTAATTACTCCTTAAAAGTCGGTAACTGATTTATATTGATGACTTTTAAAAGTAAAAGTCACTGACTGATTTTTATTGCTGACTTTTATAAATAAAAGTCTTCAAAAACTGTTATCTAAGATATATAATATAAAAATAAAAAATAATTGTTATTTTGGATTTATAATATAAAAATCAAAAATAATTGTTATATTTTATAATTTTGCATAAAAATTTTTTTTTCAAATTTGAGTCTCGGTGAAAAAAGAAATTGANATTTTTGTTTGTTATTTTTGTTTAACAATATTCTTTCTGTCCAAATTAACAATTAAAATTTGATTTTTATTTTTTTGATCAAAAATAAAAGTTAAATCGAAAAAATCAAAGCGAAATTTGAAAGAAAAAATATGCATAAGTCAAAAGTAAACTTTTATTTATGATCGAAAAATTAAAGTCTAATTTCAACTCTTAATTTTTGATCGAAAAAATCAATAAAAAAAACGATTATTTATCGACTCTTTTGAAAAAATCCATAACAGTTACGGGCCCTGATTGTATGGTTGACTCAAAAATCATCTGTAGTGTAGGGGAGCGAATACCTTCAACTAATCTTCATATGAAAAGTGTTTGCGACTTCAGATTCTAGGTAGGCAATGTATTTATGAGAATAAAAAGGCTGCCTTGTTGCCTCGAAACGGCTTAAAGCTGAAAATTTCAGCAACGCGAGGTGTGACTCGTTAACTAGTTACAACAAAAATCACATTTCTTAGTACTGCCTAAATGTACCTGATTCTGCAGGGTCTGCAGAAGTATCCGGCCTTCAGAATCGCGGCTAGTTAAGCATAACACTG